ATCAGTAGTGGAACGTTTTGACTCCAAAGCAACTCTCTGGCCGCCTACCTAAAGTGACGAAGATTTAAATGACTTATAAATCATTGCATCATATTAAATTGCGATAAATAACCTCCCCTCCCCATTCTGCAATTTAGAATTATATACAAAAGTGCAACTATAAGACCGCCACGCGCCAATTTAACACAGTCAGTGAGTTAATCAATGCTAATGACTAACAGAAGTAGACATTTTCAAAGCATAAGAAACTCTACTCAACTGCGAGTTGAAAAGTCCTTTAGTGTCTGACTAATTAGGAAATCATTTACCTAAAATTTTAATCGTTAAATAAACAGAGTATATTTATTGAGATATTAGAACTGTTGTGTTGCGATCAACTAAGTGGAAATTCCTGGAATGATCAAGGAATCAAAGCATGTCATGCAATGTCATTCAATATCAGTTATCCAATGCTCAATGATGAAGAACGTACAGAAACTAAGCTTGGTATATTCCGGCTTTCTGAAGATAGCAATGCCTTCGATTTTTCATTCTGGCCTTAATGAAGGCATTGAATGAAGCAGCACTAAGCACACCGCTCAGACCAAAGAAGAAAATCCAATCTTTTGCATGACTGAACACTGCTCCAAATTTTGGCTTCCATGTAGTTGAAAATGGCAATGATGCTCTGGCAATGGCTAGTAAAGAATAGCCATCGTCATAAGCTTGAAAACAAGTCTGAAGCTGACGCTAAAACCTCAAATTTTAAAACAAATAGAACTTCATATAATAAAAATTACTCCTGATATTATGGATTTACTAGAAAACTGCAAGACTCCCCCGGTTGGCTTGGGCGCAAAACAGCACCATTTTGTTGTTTAAGCAAACAGCAGACGCTATAACACTATACAACCATGGCTAGCCTAAACGGTCACTTTAGCTACTACACACACTGACATACCGACGAGCTCTACAATACCTCCATCCGAAATTCAGTTCTATTTTGATTACGCAGCACATATGGAAAAATCATATCTTCGGCGGAAATTAACAGTAACAGCTGTACAAAGACAAACGTTTCGCCTACATCTGTCGCCCATAGATGCAAACGATGCAACAGAACCAAGGTACAGGCACTGAGCCTCATCAGTGCTTTGGTTCCGGCGTTTACTAATGGCCGGTAATCAGCGACCTCCGCTAGCCGCTTGAATGGACAGTACCTTAAAAATTATAGGTTATGTTTGACCGTTGAAAAATGGGGTGGAAAGAAGACATTTGTCTTACTGTAGAATCAAAGAATCAAACTTAAAAACCTCCAGTACCCATGAGGCAGATCATGTCCTTCAGCTGGTCCAAAATCTACTGTGATTTGCATATCCCCTCGTCGAAGAATCCTAAACTTCCTTTGTATCGGAATGCAATTTCCTACCATCTGTAGATAAGTAATGCCATGCAGTAAAATTTCTAATTTACGCAACCTAAGTTAGTCTTTGTATTGAAGAACAATGTGGACAAACAAGTTTAGTTTGCGGTGTCACTTCAAGAACAATATTTTGTTCAGCTAAAGATAAAATGAATTTAGTTCATGAAGTGAACGCTGGAGCGCTGATCTCGATTTCCATGGCATCAGCCAGGAGCGAATTATTTTTTAAGGCAAAGTCGATAGGCGTATATGGCAAACGCTGTGCACAATGTCCTTTTAACTTCTCACAGCGTTGAAGTCGTTGATCAACCTCAGAAAGGAAAAGGCGAGTGAGCCGACCGGACCTCAAACCTGGGACCTCTCGGTTCTGAGTGCGACGCTAGATCGACTGCGTAACCATGGTCAGTAGATAAACTACTAGCCATGAGTCGATTACAAAAATCAAACTCCAAGTCACAAACTCTCAGAATGTGCCTCTGTCGTATTATAAAGCTGCAGGCAATGATTATCAACTCATCGACTTATCAGATTAGTCACAATTGCGGGAATGAGCCTCCATTTTACGCACGATAAGAGCAACACACTTACGCCATATAATTTCTGTGAAATAAACTGACTTTGACATCAGAAG